GGCGGTGCGGGCGGGCCGGGTGCGGGGCGCCCTCTTCCTGCCGCCAGGTGAGCCTCCCGCTGTCCAAGATGGACGTAGTCTCCGTGGGCCTAGAGACACGCGCTTGCGGAACTTCCCCGAGCCGCTTGCCGCAGCCGGTGTCTGTCGTGTGCTCTTAGTGGAAGTGGAAGTTGCCTGGCACTGCTTGGAGGCACTGGCCGTCCCTTAGCCACATGCGAAGAAGTGCCTTCCACTTACATTTCGATCCCCTTCGTGCCAGCCACACGAGTGTTTTGAAATCCGTTGACTTCTGTCTGCGTGCAGAAGCTACTTTTGCCTTCTTCCCAAAGAAGGAAAACCCAAACAAAGCCAATGCTAAAACACAAAATCCCCTGACACGCCGCTTCCCCCTAACGTAAATATCGTCAGGGATCTCAACCTGGGTGGTTTTCCCACTTCCTTTGGGGACATTTGTCAATGTCTGGAGACAATTTTAGTAGTTGTAACTGAAGGGGGATGTGCTGTTGGCATCTTGCAGGTAGAGGCCAGAGTTGCCGCTAAACATTGCACGACGCAGGAGTAAACAAAGATTTATTTACTTTGCTCAAAATGACCGTAGCGCCGGCGTCGGGAAACCTCAGTCTAAGAAAAAGGGAGCAAGCTAGGTAGAAGCTGCCTGGAAACAAGACTGCCCCTGACCCACCCCTGGCAACCAAGTTCCTGACTTAAACCCCTGGTAGATAAAAGTGCTAGGCTTGGCACCGTGCACAGAGGTCCCAAGCTGAACTCCGATTATTTTCCAAAATTATAGAAAGTTTTGTTTTTGCGGCTTGTCAGCAATTCTTCAACTTAACTAGAGGCCGCTGCTCACTACACTGGGACTGGAGCTGGGCCTTACACATTTGTGTAGCTCTATATTCCTGGAGTCTTTCACAGCGGTGTAGTAGGAGCTCAATAAATCACACTGATTAATTTGGAATCTTCTAAAAGTTTTAATTAGAAAAAACTCTTAGTTGTGCTGACACCCCACACAAGTCAATGCCAATCTAGTGTTCACTATTTCAGTGTCTACAGTGTGGCCCGTTTAAGCATGGACCTCATTATACTTACAGTGTAATAGAGAATACTGGCAAGTAACATTGTAGCCATAGTACAGTGTGGCAGGTGCTACTGGAACCAAGACAAAGGTCCCACTGTATTGCTGCTGAATAAGGCCAGTGACTTAGAGTGATGGGAGAAGAAAAAGTTTTACCAATCACAAGCTGGCTTGGAAGACAGTGGATCAAACAACCTTAGTGACCACCTTGCTGTTCATGTTAAGCTTGAGATTTTGATTTTTGCAAGGGAAGGGGTGCAGGTCTCAGACAGGTGGACACCAGGGTTGTTTATTAATCTTACTTATGTGAAGGTCAGTGAATTTATGAATCTAAAAGAAAATACAAATGACTTAAAAATTCTCTTGATCCATGTCTGGCTATGGCCAGTTAATGTGCTTTTCTGGCTGTCATCACTACAGGGTGATCTTTCCCTGTAGCCAAGGTCTAAGGAGTTTTCAGGAAAAGAGTATAAGGAGTTTCTAGCTAGCATTTGTGTGCAGATTAGTCAGGCAGGAAAAAATGAACAAGTTTGATGAAAGAATTTAACTTGGGAAAATTCTTTAACCCATTACGTGGCTTCGCTGTGATAGGGAAGGTACAGCCCCGTGTGCTGGTGGGAACATAGAAAAGGCTCTCTAACCCCACTCAGCCTGGGGGACCTAGGAAGGCCTTTGGAAAATTTGGGCTTGAAGACTAAGGAGTCAATCAGATAAAAAAAAAAAAAAAAAAAAAAGTGGGAGGAGAGGGAACAGTATTGTAGGCCAAGGAAACAGTATATGTCAATTAATTGGGGCAAAAAGACAACATGCATATTTGGAGATGGATTTTTTAAGGCTGGAGCAGACAGAGCTGAGGAGTATAGTGATCCCTGAATACACAGCGCACATAACAGCTCTCAAGACATTCTCAGGTGCTATTTCTGAGGGAAATGAGAAAGAACAGTTGGTGGAAAATCATACATCTCATCACATGCTACTTCTAGCTTGCTTTATTTATATTATTGTTTGTGAAAATATATGACACATTCAGGAGAAACTAATGGATCTGGCTTCCCTTCTCTCTGGGGATTATTAAAACAAGACAAAACGAAACAAAGAGGTAAAGTAAAAAGGGTCCTCTTTCACCAACCTCCACTTCCAGCCTGTCTAGCTTCAAAAACTTACTTGCTCACTGCCCAAATCTCAAACCCAGAATGCTTTTGAGAGGGTAAAACTTCTTTGATTTGTCATGTTCTCCAGGCAGGGGCAGCTTCCCTGGGATCATCGACCTGTTTGGAAGCAGTGGCGGTCTTTGTGAATACAGAGCCAGCCTCCTAGCTGGACATGGTTTTGCTGTGCTGGCTCTGGCTTACTTCAGATTTGAGGACCTTCCAGAATATTTGGGTGAGATCCACCTGGAGTATTTTGAAGAAGCGGTAGACTTTATGCTTCAACACCCAAAGGTAGGTCTGAACTCACCTGAGTGCAGGAGGGAGGGGGTCGAGTGAATACAGGGCTGGACACAGAAACCCTACCAGGACACTCGGGGCTGGAAACATGTATGAGACACAAGCTCTCCTTTAAGAGTTACTGGGATTATTATTTCCATATCCACCCATCTCACCTCTCTCTTAAGACTCACTGTTTAGTTCCCTTTGTGCTTACATAATTCAAAGAACACTGGATTAAGGAAATACTAACCTCGAGTCCTTGTTCTCCCTGGGCCACATAGTGGCCTTACCATTCTGAATAAGGCTCTGGGTTTAGTTATTCTCACTCATAGTATTTATATAAATAGATAGTGAGAAAGTTTTTACTATGAAGAGACATTTTTGAGGCAATCTGAATAGGAACAGTGTTTTGATGATATTAAGGAATCATTATGAGTGTTAAGTGTCATAACAGTATCGTAGTTTCCTTTCAGATGTCTTTATCTGATAGTACAAAATTAAGACATTTTGGTATGATTATAAATGGAGTGATACACACTGTTTGCTACCATCTAAGTTTAAAGGGACCCAAAGGTCTAATGTTAAGGAGTAAGGTGTTTTGTAAGGGGTAGTCTGACCTTTTTGTGGTTTAAGGACTAGTCTCTTAGCAGAGCTACTAAAATCTAGATGATGTCAAACTGTGAAGGTTAGTTTATTTAGGACAGATATGGCCCAGGGAAAAATAAGAGACCAATATACACTGCCAGTTCTGCCCTGGAAAGAGGGTCTTCTGGCCTGGAACCTTTGTTTTAAATGACTATCCTTTGGCCCTCTTTTGGCTGGACCACTGCCCATAGGGTGAGAGTCTGAGGGGCTACGGGAATGTGTTCACCAGGAACCATATGCTCCCCACCCAGCCCTCAGGACCTGGAACCACAGAATTCTCTGCCTAACAGCGCCAGACCCTGGTGCTGATCCAGTTTCCAGGCCTTAATGCTCCTTCTCCGGGTCTATCAGTTTCTGTATACCTAGACCTTAAACATGCAGGGTAAGTGTCCAAACATGTGTGAGAGACCCCTCAAGGTACACAAAGGAACCAGGGATGGGAAGAGAAAGAGGATGGGCCAGGGTTCAGCGTCTAGGGTCTGTGGCTGGTTCATCTCCATGCCACATTCCAATACAGAACTCCAGTGAGTTCTAAATTTTAAATTTGAACCTGACCTTTTAAATGGTTATGGTGGTATCAAAGCAGGAAATAATAGTATATTTATCTAACAACTTGTTTTTGATATACGAGCCTCTCTGTATACTCTTGACCCAGTCTTCATAAATACTAGGGGATAGCTTTTATGACCTAGGATATCAGTTGAAAATAGAAGACACACTGGAACTTTGTAGACTGTTGCATAACGAAAGTAAATTATATTTGAGAAAAGTACTTTAAAATGTAAAATTACTGTTTATGTCCTCCATTTGTGAACTGCAAGTGTATTCTTTTTCTCTTTTCATCAGGTGAATGGTCCTAGTATTGGGCTTCTTGGTTTCTCCAAAGGAGGTGACCTGTGTCTCTCAATGGCATCTTTCTTGAAAGGAATCACAGCCACTGTACTTATCAACACCTGTGTGGCCAACACAATAGCTCCCCTGCATTACAAGGGTATGATTATCCCTAATCTCCACAGTGACCTAGGGAAACAAAAAGTCACCGAGTCAGGTCTTTTGCATATTGTGGATATTTGGAACAACCCACTGGAGGAACCCAACTGCCAGAGTCTTATTCCATTGGAAAAGGCCCAGGGACCCTTCCTGTTTATTGTTGGCATGGATGATCATAACTGGAACAGTGCATTCTATGCTAATATAGCCTCTGAAAGGCTACAAGCCCATGGGAAAGACAAGCCCCAGATAATCTACTATCCAAAAACTGGTCATTGTATTGACCCACCTTATTTTCCACCTTCCAGAGCATCCGTTCATGCACTATTGGGTGAAGCAGTGTGCTATGGAGGTGAGCCAAGGGCTCAATCAAGGGCGCAGGTGGATGCCTGGCAGCAAATTCAAACTTTTTTCCAGAAACATCTCAATGGTAAAAAATCTGTCAGGCACAGCAAAATATAACATTGCAATTGTAGGCCAAATGCCATTCATAAAAATCCTAACAATACAACTTCTTGTGGGTGTCCCAGAGCACCAAGGAAACTTTGTATAATAAAGCAAGCAGCTCAGGTTCCTTCTCAAGTCCTGCTGGACTTTAGCCCTTTGCAACCCTTCCTTCTTCCCTGCCAGGTCCACCCTTAGCGCTCCTGAACATTACCAAGGTATAGACTTAACCCTGATCTCATCTGTAGCAACAGTCTTAACCTAAGCAAAAGAAATGTAAAAACTGCTTGGCCAGCTCTCAGGTGATGGCCTAGCTTCATCTTTGTGTGCTAATTCGGAAGCCTAAAGCTTCTGTATTGTTCTGAAGTCCCATATTCTCTTTGAGCCCTAACTGATCTTGATCTTGCCTTGGAAACCTGCCCAGTAGAGCCCCTTAAGGAATGGATTCTCTCTCTCTCTCTCTCTCTCTCTCTCTCTCCCTCTGTCTCTGTCTCTCTCTTCCAGATGTCTCA